CTTTCTTGGCTACCATCCAGAACCTCATCTGACCTCATAGCAAGATTAAATAAGCACTAAGATTTCTATTCTCTCTTCTCTCCAAAGCTGTACTCTTTTAGCTTTGGCCTGACTGGCGTTTTCTTAATAAGTATAACTGCGTCATTTATAAATAAACTTTTAAAAAAATCAGAGTCAAATTTCCATGTTGCAATTAAATGATTCATGTGTAGCTCCAAGAAAGAAATGTAGTTAAATCAATTTTGGGATTTTTACCCTGTACTCTACTATATTAAAGGATGTTCTGGCCAAAAGTAGTTTTCCTGCTGGGAGAGCCCTAATCATGTGTCATGCCAGGCTGCAGGGACACTTGAACTGAGGGAAACCCACAGAATGGGTATAACACTCTTTCTTTCTTTCCCACCCTCTCTCCCTCCTTCCCTCCTTTCCCTGTCTCCCTCCCTCCCTCTCTTATCTCTCTCTCTCCCCCTTCCACGCCCCCTCTCTCTCTCTTTTAGACCTCCTGGTTCTCTTACTTTGTTCTCCCTTGTGAGAATTACCTGGAAAAATAGCTTGTGTGTATATGTATGCATGGGTTCTAAAATGTCCTCACCTGTAATCAGAAATTGACACAGAATTGTACCCACTCTCCATGAGTTTTATTTTCAGCTATAGCGTCCTAATCCCTTAGTTCCATTACTGAATTTGTAGCTTTGAAATCAGATCAGTCATTCTCTTAAGTATCATTCAATCATTCATTCATCCATTCAATAAACTTTATTGATGGATTCCTTGGTGGTTAACATTTTACAGTTTTATACCAGAAGCTAAACTGGGCATTCTCTGCCTTTTCTTTCAGTTTATCTGCCAGCTTAATTGTCTAGATGTGAGATGGAACTTTTTGTTGATGGTTCAATTTTGGTTTATGGTGGATGCTTGTTTTTGAATGCCTGGGGCTTAGAGCCATCAGCTTAACCGCTGGTGGTGCTGGGGTCTGAGTACCTGTCAGCCACGAGTTCTATGTATGTAGGTTCCCCAGCAGACACCCTGGACACCAAGACTTGAGTGAACTTTCCTGGTTGACACACGTGTGCTGTCACACATTGTTCCTGGAAGAATTAAGCTCTGTCCATGGAACACCACTAGGTGAGGACAACTGGTGTTTATACCTAGTGTGTCCTGGTCTCCACACTATGTGCTTTTAAAAATAAATTTTTTGCTGGTTTTAATCTTTTGCTGGTTGTATCCTTTTGCTATAATAACCTATAATCACAAGTATAACTTTTCTGTGCTTTTTCTATGAATCAAAGAACCAAAGGGAGTTTTAGAGACTCCCAACACACCCTCATGTAACAAGTTTGACTTATTTTAAAATAGGCAAAGGAAAGAATGCATGTTCCTTTAAGTAATTTTCCTTAAGATATAACTTCCAGGGAAAAAATTATACCTAAAAGTGGAGAATGTCTTCGTTAATAGTGTATTAGTCAAGTATTAATATGATGCTAACAAGTCAAGTAGAATAAAAAGAGTTACAAATATTAATGTAAAACTATATCCTATGTCCCTTCTTCCACCTCTATCTTGGTAAATTCTTGAGAAAATTCTTGAGGAAAATTCTTAAGGAAATCTCTAAGAGAACTTTGGCAAGGAATGTTCCATTGCCAAGATTTTCCAAAGAAATCTAGAAGCAAGTAGTAACTAAGATATGCCACTGACATGTGTATGCATGCTAACGTTATACATTCATAACCTCTGACCTGTCTTGAACCCATGTTGTGAGAAATATACCTCCCTGGAGCTTATAGACAAATGAGGAAGACTAAAGATATAATGAGAGTTTGAGAATTGGGGAACATGAAGCAATCATGTTCCCTTGAGTAACGGGGGAACATTTCTGCCTAGATGGATTGACAGGAAAGCAACAACTTGTCTGAACAAGCAGGGGATCTTTAAATTGAGAGTGATGTTAAGGAACCAAGGACACAAGGGCTTAGGAGATGAGTTTCTAGACAATCAGCACAGCATGTGTAAATGCCTTCATGCAGGAACAGCCAATAGGTGTGAGGACCCTAAAGGAGGCAAGGGTGGCTGGATCATAGTGGGAGAGATGAGACTCTTCCAAGTATAAAAGCTGCTGAAGGATTTCTGGTCGAAAATGTAATGTGTTCCAATTTATGTTTTATAACATTACTTGGGCTTGTAAATGGAGAATTATTAAAGATGGTCAAGAAGTGTAATGAGGACAACAGAAGGGAGGCCATCACATCTGTCCTGTCAAGATATAATGATGGGAGTAAGTTAAAGAAAATTGAGAGATTTAAAATACACCTTGTATGTAAAGTTAAGAGGACTTGCTGTTGGATTGCATATAAGGTATTGGAGAGGGAAGATCAAGGATGAAGAAAATTAGAGTGGGCAATTTATGTTTGAGGGGCAGGGGGTAAGAAAATTAATAACTCAATTTTATACATATTTAGTTTGAAATATCTGTGAGACATTCAAATGGAGATATCAGGTAGAGAGTTGGATAAAAGAATTTGGAGAGAGTTTGAGTTATAAATTTTGAATCAATTAACATATAGATAGTTTTTCTAAACACTTTGCAATTGATGAGACCATCGCAGTAAGTTGCTTGGATTGCTTGTAGGAATGGCTGTGCTATTATGAATTGTATGTCATTCTACTTACTTCTCTGACTCATTAAGAATAACATAAATTGAGTTCTAATAACCATTATTGAAAACTCATTCATGTTTTCATATTATATGCCAGCTTTTATGGGTTGGATTGTGTCCCCCCCAAAATTCATATGTTGAAGCCTTACACCCCAGAACTTCAGAATATGACTTTATTTGGAGACAGGGTCTTTGCAGAGGTAATCAAGTTAAAATAAGGTCATTAGGGTGGGCCCTAATCCAATATAACTGGTGTCCTTATAAAAAGTGGACTTTTGGACAGAAAGACTGGTGTAGTTGAAAGATATTGCAAAGAGACACAGGGAGAAGACAGCCAGGGAGAGATGCCTGGGACAGATCCCTCACTCACAGCCCTAAGAAGGAACCAGCCTGGCCAGCACCTTGATTTGGGGCTTTTAGTCTCCAGAATGTGAGACAATACATTTCCATCTAAGCCACCCAGTTTGTGGTACTTTGCTATGACAGCCCTAGCAAACTAACACACCATTGATATTTATTTTGTGAAAGAGAAATGGCGAATTTCAGATCTAAATTTTAAAATTTAGAAATGAACCTGAAGGAAATGTAAAGGAAACAAAATTAAATCTAGACATTTTATTTTCAGTTATTTAGAAATAAAGTTTCTAATCTGAATTTTGCATTTTTCCTCTAGCTGGTTTTGCATTGTGAGAAAAGAACCTGCATATGAAATTTGTTTTCAAAACTTTTTTGCTTTTTCAAAAATCTTTAAGTTTCCAAGAAAGTCATTTAAAAATAAAAAAGAAAGAAACTAGCCCGTCCTGCTTCTTACCTTGCCAGTTTTAATAGCAGCCCCATATCCAGTGGAGAACCCACATCCAATTAAACAGACTTTCTCAGGGGGAGCTGCAGCATCAATCTTAGCAAGGGAAAATTCATCCACCACTGTGTACTCAGTAAATGTACTGGTGCCCATGAAGTGATAGACTGGCTTGCCCTTGCATGTAAACCTGGTAGTGCCTTCAGACAGTACTCCACGACCAGTAATGCTATTTGATACATTAAACACACATATTAGTTAAGTCAATTAAAAAATTAGTACAGGAACAATTTGAATGGCATAGAGTAATAATGACTGAAACCTACTCGCTCTCAATGCAAAAGTTTCCATCTGGGTTGCGGCAAGCATTGCATTCTCTACATTGAGGGAGAAAGAGGGGGATGACTTTGTCACCTAGAGGGAAAACATCATGATATAAGATGTTGGTCATTAACATTAAAATATGAAATAAACAAATGTGATTTGAGTCCATGCCAATGCAAGAATTTCTTAAAAGTATTCTAAATGTTATGGCATCATAAGTTTTGCTTGCTAAAAAGGTCAAGACTGCCCAATTAAACTTCACTCTGTATCATCCATTCTCCTTGTACCCTTTTATCCTCCTAAATTGTGTTAAGGCTTTGTCTAATAATTCCTAGTTGTGTTGTTTCCTTTGATAGGAAAATCAAACCCTACTTATCTCAAACTTGTGATTTGATATCTGCATACCTGGTTTCACCGTAGTGACACCTTCTCCAATGCTTTCCACGACCCCAGTTGCTTCATGTCCCACAATCACTGGGTACTGAGCCGCCATTATACCTTTTATCACATGGTCATCTGTGCGACAGATCCCTGTGGCCAAAATCTGTGTACAAAGACAAGAATATTGCACCATCCAGGACACTGGTCATGTTATAGTTAGAAGGATATTTAACTCGTTATTGGATGATAATTGTTTATTCAATATGATTGCCTAATATAATAGTGTTGACTCCTAGAAGGTTCCAAGTCTAATGTCAACCATGAGACAAGATCCCTCTCATCAAGAGATTTACAGTATTGCTCCCTCTGGCCCTACTTTGAATATCAGTGCCTTTCTATAGTGAATTGTTGCCCCTGGGAAAGAACCAGAATGCAGATGTTACCAAGTGGCTGCAACAAAAGTAGATTATTACAGCCAGGCCTTTCTGGGACTCTTGTAACAAAAGTAAATTAGGGAATGGCATGCAAGAAGGTAACTGAGGAGCAAAATCTTACTGCTAGTACAGTGGTCAGGGAACAGGAGAAGGTCAAAGAAAGACTGGCAGCAACACCTACTCAACATCCTGGTGTCCAAACCAACAGTTCAGCTCTGTTCAAGGGAATGGGGGAAAACACTAAAGGAAGTTGTTATTTCTTCTGGCACAAATAAGTTCCTCACTCTTTGGAAAAAGTAATCTCAAGGGCCGGCCAAGTGGCTTAGCTGGTTAAGAGTTAGCTTAAGAGCGGGAGCTCTGAGCAACAGGGCCGGTTCGATTCCCACATGGGCCAGTGACGCTATGCCTGAGCTGAGCTGCCACTGAGCTGCCAACAGGTGGCAGGATGGCTCAGCTGGTGAGAGCAGTGCTCCTAACAACAAGACTGCCTGTTTAATGGTGGGTTATGCCCCTCTGCAACTAAGACTGAACTTGGCACCTTGAACTGAGCTGCCACCTGGATGGCTCAGCGGATAGAGCATGCGCTCTTAACAATAAGGCTGCTGGTTTGACTCCCACATGGGATGGTGGCTACGCCCACCCGCAACTAAGATTGAACACAGCACCTTGAGCTTAGAGGTCACGAGCTGCCGACGGGTGGCCAGATGGTGACTGGCGCCCTCCACAACTAAGATTGAAGAACAACAACTGTTTGGTCCCCCTCCCCAATTCCCCAATTTAAAAAAATATATAATAATCTCAATGCTATCTGACTCCCAGAGGATTTTTAAAAGAAGTCATTAGTCATGATTACTAGCCATTTTTTAAAAATCAGAACCGTAAAAAAACACAACAAATAATAGTTTTAATAGTGTAGATTAGTAGCGTTGTCCTCGATGGATAATTAAGTCATTAATTTCATATTCAGTATGACAATAAACAAGGCTAGTAAGCAAATTAATATAAAAAATTTGGGAAGCATCTCCTTATTTAAGAATCCAATCTCACAAAATGATATACTCAATATAGGTATGATAACATTTTAGGATTATGTATTCTAAGGATCATTACCTTAATACGAACTTCTTTAGCCTTTGGTGGGGCAACTTCTATTTCCTCAATGGAAAAAGGCTTCTTCGGTTCCCATAACACAGCTGCTTTGCATTTAATAACCTACATGAGAGTTATAATGGATCGTAATTGTGTCATTACAAATACAGATTCCCCAAATAATGAAAATACGGACAGAAGATTTCATATAATATTCTAATTCTCCCATGAGGATTTTCATCCAAAACTAAAATTGTAATCCTTAGAGATCATTTTGTGTGCACCCATGTTCGATATATGAGAATTG